AGACTGTCACGACACAGAGTTGGAAAAATAGTAAATGAAACTCATTGGTAGTAAGTACAAAATAATGATGGTGTTAACCAGTAGTTTTGTGAGCACAGGACCTAATGAAGCCTACTTCTATAACCAGCAGTTGGGTGACATTTTAATTGAATTATATTAAGGCTGCAGTGTGACTTCAGTCTTTATTACACATAAAAGAATCCAGAGAGAAAAGCCCTGACTAAGGAGCGAATTCTCTGGTATCTAATGAGACATTAAATCCCACTGAAACCTTTTTCCTGCAGGTAGGGTACTGGGGCTGCTCTCTCAGGTCTGTAGTGATCAGTAAGAGTTAGATCTGGAGTGAGCCGTGCCCTTGCTGCACACACTCACGGTACCTCCTGTCTGGCTTCCTCTTTCTTGAATTCTGGGCTGCCAGCTTTCACAACACTTATGGAAATTCCAGCCAAACTTGTTTAATACCACTTGCTTAATTTGCTTGAAATGGAAAAGTGAATGTAAAATTTAAAGGTAATAACAAGGCATTCAAAAAATATTTTGAGAGCCATGATCAATGTAACGCCACATAAATCAGCAGTGCTGTCAGAAGGAGCAGCCCTGCCTTCCTCTTGCCGTCATCTTCAATTACTCACCCCCTGCATGCTCCGCCTTCTCCTGCTTTTTGTCGGTGCTGGTGTACATGCAGCCACTCGGTAAACTGGATCATTCTGAAAACTACTCCAGGAGAAAAATGGTTTGTTTTTAGCTAGTTTGCCTAGTTGCAGTGTAAGACTCGGGGGCAGAGGTGGCTCTTCTGGCAGCACTGCAGATCTATACCAGACCAAGTATAAAACTGCCTGGATCCTGACAAGTTTAGTGCTAAATTTGGTATTCTTCCATCTCTGTAATCTGTGAGGAAATGGTTTCAGGTAGTGAACAATGAGTCACGCTGTATACAATGTATAGTAATTTCTGCTTTCCTTCATTACCTGTCCAGAAAAAAAAAAAAAAAAAAGACTACTGCCCTTGCCTTCTCTTTTATACAAGTAGAATAAGAAAATTTAACTAGGGTGCAGAATCAATATTCATTCTCTCCTCCTATGGCATTTGTCTGAAAAGACTGACGACTGCAACGATCACTCACTGGAAAGGGCTAGATAGCTCATCCCCGACACGTGTGCCGTCTGCTAGCCCGAAGACTGACGTTCCTGCTTGCGTGGTCCCCCTCAACGAGCTTAAAGAGTTCCGTACTTTGGCAGTCCAACAGCTTTGACAGCAGAGAGTGAGTACACATGTTAAGAGTAGCCCATACTACAGTGGTGGTAAGGTAGCCTTCTGAAAGCCCTGAAATACGGGCTTCTTTCTTTTCAGCCCGTATCGCTCACAATATGGGAAAACTTCAGTGTAAAGTCAAATTCAGGGAAAACTGCAGAGGAGACCTAGGAAAAGGCCACCATCGTTGTTTTGAAATGAAAAAAAGTATCCCATGCTTTGTCAAATGTTGGAAGAAGAGGCTTGGTGCTTACCTTGATGTACGGTCTCAGTGCTGTGAACCCTGAGGGGAAGACAGCACGCTGGGCCAGCAGAGTCGGAAGCCTTAGCTCCAGTGAGGAATGGCATTCACGAGACATCTTCATCTTTAGTGTTTCCTACTGACCGCTCTAACCAGTTCCTAGTTCTGCCTGGTAGTGAATCTTCACATGTTTTCTGTGGGGTTTTTGCTTTGCTTTGTTTGGCAACCTACTTATGTGATTTTTGCTTGTTGTGGGCCCCATTTTAAGGCACCTAAATCTTCCTGTGCATTGTTTAGGGAGTCTGGGCATGAAGCTTGGATAATGAAGCGCTTCAGTCCTGTGAATCTGGGTCATGGCGATTTTGTTTTTCCCCACATACGGAAGAGTGAAATCATATAACTTTTTAGTAGAAATATTACTGTAATTGAAAATTTATTTTAAGTTTCTAATGTCACTGAGTAGGTACAGTTTACGAAAGCCAAAGTCCTTTTCTGCTACATTAAAAAGAATAAACAAAACCCCCAACATAGCTCCATTAGAAACACCCTCAGCACTCTCACTAAATTTAAGAGTGCGTATGCAGAGAATACAGAGCAAACACTTGTGTTCTGCATATTCTCTAATAATGATTTCAAACACCAATGTCAATCGGCAGGAAGTTTCTTCAAAAGCCAGAGTGTGTCCCACCTTCAACGTAATGCTCTCAAGGCCAACAATGAATGCCGACACGTCGTACAGGATTCCATTCATTAACAGTAATTCCTTAAGACTTAAAACTAATGCATTAATCACGTTAATGATAATCCATTAATGTGAAGAACCTGAAGATAAAAAGGTAGAATCAGGGATATGCTGTGTAGCAAGTGTTACAGTTTTAGGGTAATACTGAATTACAAAATTAGTCTGTAGACTGACTGGAGGATTAACCACCTCAGCAGAGCATATGAAGTGAATATCATGGTTTAGGAGAGCAGAAAATGATGGCATAGAATATTAATGTTCCTACACAGGGTTTGGTTTGCACTGAGGGTATAATGTGGAAAGGTGACTCTAGATGGTTGCTTCTTGAAATCAGGCCCAAAGTATTTAAGGACCAAAATCATGTTTTATTTAAAGAGTGATACACTTGTTTATGTTGTGGCAGAATGGTTCCTATATACTGATCTTGATATTTGTATATCAGAGGGCAGTAGTGCCACCACTTTGAACACTTCCAGTTAATTATCACTAGAACATTTTGATAATGACAGTGTATTTTCCAATATGAACAAAATGAGGGAAAAAAATAAAGAGTTTAGAAAAAAAGGCCAAACAAACTCTGGGAGCACTGACTTCAACAAGTTCAACAAATATTCAAGCCACATTTAATAACTTCATGAAACTAGTATCAAAGTAAAGAATATATAGTCAAAATACAGAAATAAAGTTGAGTGAGAGAAAACAGCCTGATGAGATCAAACAAAAGTTAATCAGAACAGATTAATATAAACAAGTTAGCTGAAAGGTCGCTTTGCTTTGTGTAGCACTATTTCAGCAATTCCTTTCCTCAACAGCCAGCTTAGAAGGAAGAGCTAATCTGAAAAAAAAGATATGCATCACTTTAAAATCCTGCTGTATGTGTTATTGTGATTGTTTGTAGGAACAGCATCACCCCAATTTGCAATCTATATTAATTTCTCATTTAATAAACATAGTGGATTTTTTTTTTGTAAGAAAAAGAAGTTCAGAATGAAGTGTCTGCATTCCGCTTTCCATTACACATACGTTTATCTTTCTGTTGGCTATGAATTCTTTTATTTGTCAACTGCAAATGATTAGAATTTGCTTACACTTCCAAACCTTTTGTTTGTCATAGATACTTCACTTCTAAAAGTGATCGCTAATTACAGAATTACAAAAGGTAGAATAAGGCTTTCCCCGCTCAGAAATTTGCATTTTTTGGTAAAGGTAACAATGTATCAGCTTCACTAACACCCTAATAATAGGCATACATTTAATTTTATATCACCATCCTTCCAAAGAAAAAAAAAAGACTAAAAGATGTGTGCAATTGGTTTTTGCTTAGTATAAAATTTTCAAATCAGAACTCATTTTGCTACGATGAACACTATGTATTACATATAAACATGTGGAAAACAATGTGCCAGGCTTTACAAAAAAAAGTTTGATTAGCAGATGACAATTCTGTAGTGCTATTGTGCACTATAAGCCCAGAGACAAAAAACAAAACAACAACAAAAAAAAACCAAAAAAAAAGAAAAGGAAAAAAAAATTACCAAACCAGTTTTGATATAGGTTTGGCATCAAGTGTGTGTTATGATCTTAGACTCAGTATGCTCATTCTATGGTTGAGAAGTTTAAAGTACCAGATTTTTCCACATCAGATAGCAGGTAGTTGGTGCATACATTTCAGACAAGAGAACTAGGATTTCTTTAATTTGAGACGGGATCAGTAATCTGTTGTTAAAATGTCCAAAGTGTGCAACAATAAGGCAGATTTCTTATTACACCACCTTTTAAGATACTCATTGTTTGATGAAACAAACAAGGTGCTTTAAAACAGCAGAGTAATAGGATACAAACAAGTGCCAGAATGGAGAAAAACTGCTAAAATGGGAACTGCCCTTTCTTTCACAACGAGAAATAAAGAACTTTTGTATCTGGTATTTGAAAGGTTTTTAACAGCTGATATTCAATATCAGCTGATTCCTGAAGTGTTGGCAAGATACCAGGTTTCTGGTACTGGCCATTGCTAATGTTATTTAAATATTCACATCATGCAATAAGCAGTTTCACACACTGCAATGTAATGGAAAATACTTCCTAAACTGAATCAGAACTGAGACCCAAAGCAGAACCAGTAAATAAATATCTCGCATATATGTCAAACTATATTCTTCAAACAAAACCTTACATCTTCTCAAAGAAGTCAGAAAGTACTAACAAAAATTATATGCTTTCTACTATAATACTGTTAAATTTCCATGGCTGAGAATGTCCCGTTAATTTTTTCTGCCTTTTTAAATTAGTTGACAAAGTAGAAATTCAAACACAGAAATAAAATGCATATATATGAGAGCACTGGCTCAGCGAGATATCAAATATACAGCATTCTAGTGTCAAAAGTACAGGCAGAAATGTCCAAGATTTCTTGGTGAAAAAGGGGCATTTGAGGAGTAAAAATTCTACTTAACAATCACTCACATTTTAACAGTGCATTAATTATAACCAAAGCTGGATGATAAGTGAGCAACAGAGTCATAATGTTCAGTGTTCATAGCAGAATGTTATCCTCTGCTCGTTTAAATGAGGCTGGAAACATATACTCATGTATGTGAAACTTTAAGTAGCTAAGTTTTTTCAATTTTTCAGGATTCTTGCAAGAGGCAAAGTTGTGACATTGAGCTGAGTTGGATGATAGTACAAGGTGGCGTTGATAGAAGTCTTCCTTTCGATGCTGTGCCTCTGGCTTGTCAAAGGATGATTAGTCCTACAATCTCGTTTGATCTATTCTTTTGCCTCTAGGAAAAGGGTTTCTTGAGGATACAGTTTTACCTCCAGTAACGTTTTATTTGGATCCAGCTGGGTCACCTGTAAAGATAAGGACAAGAAGATATGTGTAAGTAGACTTTTTGTGAACTGTTTGTCTTCACAGGGCAGATTTTCACTGGGGAGGTTTGAGTCCCTCTGTCAGTGATAACTGAAGTCGTGAGTATGAATTCCCAGGATACAGATTAAGAAATATATATTGTATTTTGTGTGTTGTTATTATTTTGTAGTAACAATAAACATAATAATAATAAAAAACATAATCCACAACATTAATTCTAAGAAGGTCTGGTTTTCTACCATAAACCAACATGTGAATATTTCTGGTTTTGTCAAAGTTAAGATCTTTTGCAAGGATTACTAGAACACATGAGTTAAGATGAAAAATAAAACTGCAGTCCCACATAAGTATCCTAAAATTTCCATGAAACTATGGTGCAAGCAGCACAGCCAATTCAACGAGACCTCTCCATTGAAAGGGGATCCTTACTCTGCTTTTATTTTCCTACTCTTGCTCAAAGTGGCATGGTGAAGCACCTAACTTTCACTCACTTTGATGCTTATCAGCCACCTCAATGAACTAGGCTGGGAGAAAGCGGTCCACTTTTATTTGCTTTGTTATTTTTCTGTCATGCTAGTGAGTTTAACTGGTGAACACACAAGTCCAGTCAACGCCAAATCCAGCGCAAGGTAAGCAGCAAAAGCACTAAGCAGTAAGTAGAAGGGAGGGCTCAGCGCCCTCCTCCTTTCGCTGGGAGTGAGATGCATAATCAGCTCACCATATGGCGAAACCGCATCTCAACCCAACTATTGAAGAGTATGCTGATTATGCATTGTGTATATATATGCATTACAAGTACTATGTGTCTATATATCATTTCTACAGACACTTACGTGTGTACATTTGTATGATAGGATTGTTCCCTGAAATCCTGATGACTCATTGGATTTGTAAAGGCATTCAGGCAATCGCTTGTGCAGGTGGGCGCACAGGGGAATTCCAGTGAGAGTTAAATACCATGCAATTTGGAAAATAATGATACAGGCACTACCTGCACCATTATTGCCAAAATTCTTCAGCATTTGGATCTTTGGCACCGCACGTGGCAAGCTGCTCAGTATCCTGACTATGCCATTACCGACTTTCACTTAAGGCACATAAACAGTTTATAGTGAGCAAGATGCTTTTGTGTTGAGGATTCTATTTAGAAACTAGACTGCTGCCTATAGGATAAATCTCTTCCGTGAAAATAAAATTTAGTTGTAAATATTACATAACATAATTATATAGATAAAATAATGAAGACAAGGGTCTTAGTGTTCTTCAGACATTCAGGTTTGCACACCAACACTGTGACATCCTTCAGAAGACTACTGCAAAGGTTCATATAGAAAGATGAACGGTATTTCTTTTGATCTCACCATTTTCTGAAATATTTCACTTCCATTTTTAAACTTATTTTCCCTGGTAATTCTGTTTTCATTTCTTTTGCTGTGTGAACACACTAGTTACCAGAAGTTTGCTTGTGAACAATAGATTATTAGTCTTACGCTATAGGTATAAATGAAAATAGATACTGATACACATTTTTTCCAAAATCAATTTTTTTTTACCTATGATCATATCATACCACTGCTTTCTAAAATTATTTTGGAAAACATTGTCAAGCATACCAAATACTATGAATTAATATAAGAAATATTAAATATATCTTTTTCTTAAAAGTGTAACTTACTAATCTCATTACCAATAAACAAAACCAGTATTGCTCCTCTTTCTCCCCCCCCCAGCTAAATCAGGCAAACTTAAAATATATTTATATTTCCATTGTTTTATTGGATAATTACAGAAAATTCATTATTTAAACAAATACTAAAAGCTTATCGCTTCGTAAGTCCATTGAAATCAATGCAATTTCACCTCTTGGACTGCAACAGAATTAAAAAAATAAAAGATTTAAAAAACAAAACAAAACAAAACAAAACGAAACCAGATGCATTATTTTGATTCCCAAAGCAGGAACATATTTTCTTAAACTTCATGTACCATGGTGAGCTATGGCTAAATGTCTGAAGAGAAAAATAATTTATAAAAACCA